CAGCAGGACAATGCATTGTGCCTGGCTGAAAGGGCTTTTGAGACGGCGGCTGCCATGGGAGATGTGAATGAATCGCTGCTCAATCACTGTAAATATTCAGAGAGACGTGTCGTGAAAGGATCATTGTTTACAGCTGCGTGCGGAAGCAGACACAGCGAGCGAATAAGCGACCATGTGTCACGCCCGTGTACCGTTTTGTAGAGCCAGGGGTTGCCAAATGATTAAAAAGGGTTTTTTATTTATTTTCTCAGGGTCCTGCCAGTTGATGTCACGGAGGATAATGCCTCTTTGAAAGTTGTCAGGCACACACAGAGTGCCTATTGTCCTCCCAGTCGCTCGCTGCTCCTCGCCGTCCTTCGGGCAAAATTGAGATTAATCCGACGTATTTACTTTGCTGAAAGAAAAAGTCATTAAAATACACGACGCTCGGAGAGCAGTCCCCTGGTGTTTGTTTGGGTTCCAGTGATAAGCGCTTACTTAGATAAAGGGCTCCCTTAGACGTAATGCCTTTTCTGTTATCAAAATGCAGGCATGTTCATGCTAATATAGCATGAAAGGAAGAAGTGTGCATACCTGGAGAGTGTGTCCATGAAAGTGTGTTTGATTTCCTTTTATGTGTTAAAAGGCATGCAGTTCAGGTGACTCTATGAATGGTTGTTGGGGGGGTTATATATAAATTACATTGTGGGGACCAAAATGTGATAAAAACCTGTTATTTTAATGTTATGGTGAGCATTTTTCCAGTCGCCACAAGGAAACAATCAGTTTTATAAAAAATCTGCGAGTCTGATCAAGAAGCTAATAATGGTTACTTATGGTTATGGTTTGTGCTGGGCAGGGGTTAAGGTCATTGTTGGGATTTGAGAATTTCCTCAAAGAAATGAATGGAGAGTCCCCACAAAGATATAATAAAAACCTATGAGTGTGTGCACATGCATGTCTGCCTGCATGGACTGTGGGACGCACATGGGGGGGGGGGGTGATGTCATGTCCACATGTCTGGTTTTGAAAACTTCAGATAAAACCTTTTGTTTTAAAAACACAGTCATAATAAAGTATTGTCAGCTACCTTCAAATTATCTGTAGCTAATATTTTCATGATTGTCCATCACTGCATGTCCCCCCCCCCGTCCCGGGTTCCACACTCCACGCCTGCCTGTGTGTGTGTGGTGCATGCCTATGTGGGTGTCAGAGCCCGGTGATGTCATATTCGGGGCATTCCATGGCCGAGACCGACTGCGCTTCTCCGGAAGCCCACTCCCACGAGCGGTCGCTGAGGTGCTGGATGGACGGAGGGGGCAGATGAGCGGACAGATGGACACGCAGATGGGCGGATGGCGCGGCAGCAGGGGGGGGGGCGGCTCCTTTGAGCGCGAGCGAGACAGCCGTGCGGCTGGACGTGCCCTGCCGTCCCCGTGAAGCTTCACGCTCGTGAAGGTCGGCTGGTCACCATGCAGTCAAAAGTCAGGGTAGGAAGTCACCTTGAGAGCAGCGGCACAAAACTGCTTCCTGTCTCTCATAATCTTTCTGAAATCTTTAAGTTCTCACCATTTCTGAACCCTCTCTAACCCATAGCCACATCAATACCAGGGCTGTTCGTTACAGTCCGCTGTTATACAGCCATAATTTAGATAATTTATAGAGACACACATTTCTGGGTTAAACCAAAGCGACAGGACAGGAGGCTCATTAAGGGTGACCCCATTGAGAAGGTAAAGAACTAATGCAATCATCATACCAAATTCCTTACACTTAAATACCAAGTGGCATTATTTGAAAATATAAAAAATATTAAATCTGTGATAGGGGTTCTTTAGCATGTGAAAGATGAGGAAAACTATCTGCCCCCCAACCCTGAATGGAATGGCCCGTCTCTGCTGGAAGTTCCATTCAGCAGGGGTCAACTTCCTGTTCTTTCTTGCGTGTGGATTTCGCTCCGAGCTTCGAGCGAGCGGCTTAACGCTGAGAGTAATATAGAGGACGCAGTGCCAGTGAATGCGGGGGATCCAGAGGTTTTACCCGACAAACACAAACAGATTTGCCAGGCGGCAGCATGTCATGCCACCTGGTTGGACCTTAGCTATGGCGATTGGTGGCTTAACTTGACTGTGAAGTTGCCAATGGGGTTCGGCTCATTTACATCGACTGTACCTGAACTGACGGGCGAAAGAGGTCGACGGCAGACGGAAACAAATTTGCAAATCTGCATGATCTCTTTCCTCGGGGCAGGTACAAGGAGCTTGGGGAGGTGAAATTTCAAATTAATTAGCCGTAAAGAAGAGTTTTACTTCTATCCCGGATACCAAGATGTTTAGGTTCAAATAACCAGCAATTAATGAAGTTAAATATGCAAGGTCAGCAAAGCTAGCTGATTCATCGTAGCCCAGATAAAATAGAAATTTATTTGGAACACTTGCATTTCTGACATACACAAGCAAATCCAAATTCCCTCGTCCCAAGGAATTAGATTCTCTTTTTTTTCAATTTTCCAATTTCAATTCAGTTCAGTTTTTATAAGATTTTGGGATGTTAAATCCCACTGGTGAAGGTTCCATTATTTTCTGGTAACACTTCATCATCCAGTGGGCAGTAACCAGACTCAAATCTTGCAGGTTGTAGGCAAACATGTTTCCTCTTTTACCAGCATGTGAAACAGCAGTTTGCAAACTGGAGCTTAATTGTTTAATCATTTTTTTTTTAAATGCTTGCATACCCCTTTTAATTGCCCCCACCCCCCCACCTGAGCCTTGCTCGGCTGAAACATTCAGCTCCGATTGCTGAATGCTGGAAGGGAGTGGGCTTGTATGCAGGGAAACATGTGGCTGACGCTCTAATGAACGTCTGCCTTGCGGGCCGATGGTGTGCTCGAGTTCTCCGGGCAACAGAACCCGGATTCGCTTTAAAAACATAAGTAGGGTGCTCCACTCTACGCTCCTGAAATCAATTTTGGGATGTAAAATATGTAACGGTAGAACCTCCAAAAATATAAAAGTGTAAATGGTCTGTTTTCTCCCCCCAAAATAATTCCCAGGCAGGCGTAACCTTTCTGTCAACTTTCCAGCTTTGTGACTGATACGGTTAGTCATAGTCCATTTGTTTGGGCCGGTTTTTGCCCATCAGAGGTAAGTGGACATCAAAGCAGAATTTCTTGGCTTAAACGACAGGGCCGGCTGTGAAACGTTGCAGAAGCGAGGTAGGCGGTGTTTGTGTGTGTGTGTGTGTGTTTGGTCCAGGTATGCCTTCCCTTGTGGGGACCAAATGTCCCCACAACATGATGAATACCTGTTTTATTTAGTTACTTGGGGAAAACTCCATTTTATAAAAAATCCGTGACTGCAATGAAAAAACTAAATATACAAAAACTCTTGTATTTTGTTTGGTTACTTATGGTTATGGTTAGGGCTGGTTAAGGTTGTCATTAGGTTAAGCATTAAGGTTAGCATTGGCATTTTTCCCATAGAAATGAATGAGTGGTCCCAAAAAAGATATGATTACATGACTGCGTGTGTGTGCGCGTGTGCGCATGTGCGTGCGTGCAGTGGCTGGGGTGTCCGTATCACATCATACGACTGCTGCTGTCACCCTCTTTCAGGATGCCCTCATCTGCCTGAAAGTTTATCTATGTCAACCTAAGAGGCCCACCCACCTCCAGATCAGGCCAATAGGACTCTGGCCTGCCCCCTGTGCTTTTTGGTAAGATGACCAATTGCAAGAGGCACCAGGAAAGGAGATTCCTAATAGGTCAACTTTATTTCGATTTGCTTAGAACTAGTCCAGATGCTCCCCAGGTTACAATGGTCTGTGTTACAATGTTTCGACTTTACGATGGGTAAATGTTTTTCACTTTCAGTACATTATTCAATAAACTACATGCGATATTAAACATTTTATTCTAAAATAGGCTTTGTGTTAATGATTTTGCTCAACTGTAGGCTAATGTAAGTGTTGTAAGCATGTTTAAGGTAGGCTAGGCTAGGCTGTGATGTTTGTTAGGTTAGGTGTACTGTATTAAAATGCACTTTCGATTTACGATATTTTCGTCTATCGGAGCGTTACCCCATCATAACCTGCATTGTGATTGGCAGATTCAGACACCAAATCAGTCACTTAGATATTTCCCACAATGCATGATAAAGTGTGTTGGTGCTGATTTCAGCAACCCTCTCTTTGAACCAATCAGGTCTTTAGGCATCTGGTGTGGCAGACTTTAAATTCACTGGTGTGTTTTATGTACATGCTTCTGCCTTTCTCTACTTTGTGATTCTTCTTTCCTTTATAGGTCTTTATGGTGCTTGTTCCCCTTAAATTACTTGATCACTGGGCAGGATCCTTTTACTACAAGTATAGCGAGTCGCTTTGTTGGGCTGAAGGCGTGTTTATGACAGCATTAAAGTGCCTTCGGCAATTATACACCACACTTCCTGGCTCAGTTCCGTTTTTGAAGATGCACGTGAATATATGAATACATATAAAAATATTAACGTATATACATACATAGCTAGGTGATTTATTCATGTTTTCCTTTAATTCTTAAAATATGTATTATGGTGTAAATATATTTCGGTGTCTACTCTAAAATTGAATTTCAAGAATTTTATTACACTTGACATAAACAAAATTGACTTTGGGCAGTAACTCGCATTTTATTGCCGAAAATAATGAAATGCAGCTGGCCAGTGATTTGGTATGTTCTGGAGTGATCAGTGAATTAGGGAAGGCAGAGTTTAATCTGATGCTCTGATCAATAAAACCCTTTATATTGAATGGGATCCTTCACTAACACCCTGCACATTTTATGTTGTCGTTCAATGCGATTTTGCACTGTTAGTGGTCTCATTCGAATGACAAAAAACCTGTTAGATAATGTATCTGTATAGTAAAACTGTGGCGTTATGCAAAGTTGCCCTGGAAGTGCATATTCACTCCTTACATAATGATGTCACTCCTTACATAATGATGTCACTCCTTAGCCTGAGAGCTTCCCTCTTTTTGTCTTTCAGGGTTTTTGAGCACAGGCGACCAAGCCGCCAAGGGGAATTATGGGCTCCTGGATCTCATTCAGGCCCTTCGCTGGACCAGCGAGAACATCGCCTTTTTCGGGGGTGACCCTCTGCGCATCACCGTTTTCGGGTCGGGGGCTGGTGCCTCCTGCGTCAACCTGCTGACCCTGTCTCATTACTCCGAGGGCAACCGCTGGAGCAATTCGACCAAAGGTACGCGAGGCAGCCCGTGAGGCAGCCCGTGAGGCAGCCCGTGAGGCAGCCCGTGAGGCAGCCCGTGAGGCAGCCCGTGAGGCAGCCCGTGAGGCAGCCCGTGAGGCTCTTGCTGCTGTGGAGAGCCAATGCGGAAATGAAGGATGTCAGTTCTCACATTGAGTCCTTGGGCTGAATTTCTTCAGTAAAACACAGCACTCATATGAGTAAAATGATTTATGTATACATATATATATATATATATGTTTATGTATATATGTATATGTATACATATATATATGTATATATACACATTTTTTCTCCAGATAGCGGGACAACAAGTACTTGGAAGGTAGGTAGGTAGGTGGGTAGGTAGGTAGGTAGGTAGATAGATAGTGGGTGGTTATTAAATTAAACCATGTTGTGGCAGCTGGATGTGGGTACTATATGAGCTCCATTAATAAAAACAGAAACAGCCAGTCTTGATGATTATGTGTGTGTGTTGAATATGAGTAGCATAAACCCTTATAATCAATGCGTCACCATTTATCATTCGAGGCTGTTGCGCTCTCTCTCCCATGGAGGGACAGAGCTGTCATGTTCCTTTCAAAATTGCAAAGTGATTTGTTATTGTTAGCAGGCATGTAAAATCTGCAAACACCGTTAGCTTCAGAGAGACGCTGTGCTCTTGAAGTGCCTGTGCGCCGAAAGCTACCCCGCATTTGTTGCGAAACACGGAACGTTTGAAAAAGTTTTGTCCCCGATACAGTTGGGTCGGCGTGAGCCATGAAAACAAAGTAGGTTATCGTGTTTTGGATGCTTGAAATCCCAGTGAGCTAAATTAAAGGTCAGATCTTGTCAGGGGACATCATTAGGGCTCTTGTTGTCCCACGTGATTCCAGATCATTCTGTTTGTTGTCTTTGTTGCGTTCTGTAAGGGAGAGCGGGTATAATATGTGCTACTGCTTCGCTCTCACCTCACAGGTGCGCACGCCGCCCGGTCACTCCCCCCTTGTGTGCATTAATCAAGTGGCTCCAGCCCTAGACAGTTTCACTTAATACTTTCTTCCTGGCTGTCTTGGGCTTCTTGTTTGAAAATCACTGATAAAGGTAGTAGGCCCGGCCCTCCATTAAGTATTGAGGTTATTTTTTATTGCATTCAGAAGAAGACTGAAGTAGATATGAAACTTTAAGGATTATGTTGATTAATCTGAAAGCATTTACATAGCAATTTTATTATAAGGAACTTAATTTCAATAAGAATCTATACTCTAATGGACTTCATAAGGTTTTTTTTGCACATACCCCATGTCTGGTTGTGTAACCTTTATGTATTTATTTGTCGGCACGTTTATTCATTATTTGCAATTTCTATTTCTACTTCAGTTTTTATTTTTTTATTCTATTAATTGTCTTTTGTATTCCTCTCTTGATTGTGTGCTTAATTGCAATACCTCATGACGGCAGCTGCACCAAAACAGACTCCCCGTACTTTTAGTACTTAAAAGGATTGTGATTCTGATTAATTTATATTTGTTTGATCTTGTATGATTTTTAAGGCTAATACTGCTAAAATGAAAGTGAATGAAATATGCAGTTTCTTCAGCATCCTCTTTCCCCCTCATCCATAACTTACATTGTGTTCTGCTTCATCACGGTTTCTTGCCTCTCTGCAGGACTTTTCCAGAGAGCTATAGCACAGAGCGGCACAGCCCTGTCTAGCTGGGCGGTCAGCTTCCAGCCCGCTAAATACGCCCGTCTGCTGGCCAAGAAAGTAGGCTGCAACCTCCGGGGCAGCGTGGAGCTGGTGGAGTGTCTGCAGAAGAAACATTACAAGGAGCTCGTGGACCAAGACATCCAACCCGCCCGGTACCACATCGCATTCGGGCCCGTCATCGACGGCGACGTCATCCCCGATGACCCTCAGATCCTCATGGAGCAGGGGGAATTCCTCAACTATGACATCATGCTAGGGGTGAACCAGGGCGAGGGCCTGAAATTCGTGGAGCTCATCGTGGACAGCGAAAACGGAGTCCAGGCCAACGACTTCGACTACGCCGTCTCCAGCTTCGTGGACGATTTGTACGGCTACCCAGACGGCAAGGACATCCTTAGGGAAACCATCAAGTTCATGTATACGGACTGGGCAGACCGGCACAACCCGGAGACCCGGAGGAAGACCCTGTTGGCCTTGTTCACGGACCACCAGTGGGTTGCCCCTGCCATCGCCACGGCCGACCTACATTCCAGCTTCGGGTCCCCTACCTATTTCTACGCCTTCTACCACCACTGCCAGACAGACCAGGTGCCCCCCTGGGCAGATGCTGCCCACGGCGACGAGATCCCCTACGTCTTTGGCCTGCCCATGATCGGACCCACTGATCTCTTCCCCTGCAACTTCTCCAAGAACGACGTCATGCTGAGCGCCGTCGTCATGACGTACTGGACAAACTTCGCGAAAACTGGGTGAGTTCCTTTTGGAGTAACTTGGTTTGTATTTGACCTGTTTGTCAGACATTGTGGTTCATTTCATGGTAATTCATGCCCCGAGAGTTAGACCCCTGTTAATAATTTATATCACATTCTTTTCTGGTATTTGTATGGCGTTATTTAGCATATGCTGTCAGTACTTGAATGTCAGAATAACCAGCTTAAACAGTATTTGGAAATCGGTGACTTTCTGGTATTTCCCGCAGCGACCCCAATCAGCCGGTCCCCCAGGACACCAAGTTCATCCACACCAAGCCCAACCGCTTTGAGGAGGTGGCCTGGACGCGCTACAACCAGAAGGACCAGCTGTACCTGCACATCGGCCTGAAGCCACGAGTCAAGGAGCACTACCGCGCCAACAAGGTCAACCTGTGGCTGGAACTGGTGCCCCACTTGCACAGCCTCAATGACCTCACGCAGGTCGTCTCCACTACCACCAAAGGCCCTGTGCCAGAGCCCACACCCAGGACACCAAAGAAGGTCCCCACTGCCACCAGGAGGCCCAACCCCACTCCCTTCCCAACGGAGAACCAGGACGAGCACAGCCAGCTGGAGCGGCCCCTACTGGTGGACAGACGGGATTACTCCACAGAGCTGAGCGTCACCATTGCTGTCGGCGCCTCGCTGCTCTTCCTCAACATCCTGGCCTTCGCCGCCCTCTACTACAAGAAGGACAAGCGGAGGCAGAATGTGCACCAGCGCTGTAGTCCCCAGCGTGGCACCACCAACGACCTGGCGCACGCCCAGGAAGAGGAGATCATGTCCATGCAGATGAAACACACGGACCTGAGCCACCAGTGTGACGGCATCCACCCGCACGAGATGGTCCTCCGAAGTGCCTGTCCGCCAGACTACACACTGACCATGAGGAGATCCCCGGACGACATCCCCCTAATGACCCCCAACACCATCGCCATGATTCCCAACAGCATTCCAGGGATACCATCCTTGCATCCGTTCAGCACCTTCCCTAGTGGACAGAACACCTTGCCCCACCCCCACTCACATTCAACAACCAGGGTATAGCCGGTGGGGAATTACCTTTTCTGCAAATCATTGTCATGAGCACCTGGCGATATTGTACTGCTGAAAGGGAAAATATCACTTTTTTTTGTAAAAAAATAAAAATAAATAAATAATACATAAAAATAAAGAAAAATGTTCGGATTACATAAACATTTCTTTTATATGTGATGGAAAGCATAAAAGAAGGTCAATTTGCTGTCACTGGAGGAGCTCGAGCTGAATGATATGGCTGGTTTGGAGAAAACAGGGATGGGAGAGAATCGTGAATCAGGCATCCACATGGATACACACAGACGCTTGTTTATGGAGCCAAAAGAAGACAATGCCCCAAAGGATTCTAGCTTGGGGGTGGGTGGGGGGGGTGGCGTAGGGTGGGTGGTATATACTGGCGTTACAAAGAGATATTTTGAAAAACTATTCAAAATATGCACAATGGAGGTATTTACAAGAAATATCTCCAATTTCTTTTGTTTCATCTTTTTTTTTTTTTTTTGGGTGGGGGGGGCGATTTATTGTGTAGAACGTTTAGTTATCTAGGTCTGTACACAAGGCACTGTTGTTTAATCCCTAATAGGGCACCATGAAAACCAACGAGAACATTGGCCGATTTTGGCAGATGAAGCATCGTCACGTAAGTGCCGTCGACGCTGAAAGCTGGCGGACAGAAGAACTGGATATTTTTGGTACGCCGCATGACAATTTAACCGCTTGGTGGCTGTTCTGCTGATTAAGTTGCAATTAGAAATAATTTTCATCCCTCGATTGGGTTCGTTCAACACCGTGACTGGCTCCAGACTCATGTGGGAGGGCTGACCCAGGAGACTTGGGTAGGGGTTTGATGAGGGGGGGGGGGGGCAGGGAGATGTATACATGAGCACCCCGGTGATCATGGATAATAAGGACTCCTCTTTTTTGTACAATGTTTGTTGATAAAAATGTTTTAATGGTGGTGAGAGACTTGTCATCCATCAGCTCCTTATCACACGAGGGAGTCCGTTATTCCGTTCGTCCTCTGTTCCTCATTTCCTCTGTTGGCCAGGTCACCCAAATCAGGCTTCTCCACTTCCTCTGGCCCAAAGTCTGTCACTCCTCACCTCTGATTCGCTGTCTGATTTGCGTCTTATTTTTAACAGGTTGCTGACGAGTAGCGGAGAGGCTGGACTGCTGGGGTGTAGCTCGAGATTCAACTGGTTGTTTTATTAGAAATGCTTTGTAACGCTATTTAAAGATTAAAGACTGTATGAATGTCCCTCACTGTGGCATTATTTTTTTGCAGAAAGCTGTAATCGGTGTTTAATTTGAGTCCTGGATGTACGCTTTGTATGCCTTTTCACAGATTCGGGTTTTAATGTCGCTGTTGGTCTTTAATGTCTTGCAGCTGCATTTGTTTATGATAACCCCATCAGAGGACGTCTTACCCAAATTGCTTTAATGTTGGCAGCGGCCGAGTTATGGTTTACACTGATGCTCCCAGCCACATTCTCTAGGGGGCGCTGCAGGGTTTCCACATACAACTGTGGCCCTAGCACCAAAAATTGCGAAAACGGTCCTCTTGCAATAATGAATCAAAAACTAAAACTAAAAAACTACCAGGCAAAATTCAGCTTCTTATACTTTAACTCGATTTGGTCATTGTCATTATATAGCTGATCATACTATCGACGCTAAGGTCTTAGGTTAGCGTTATCTGTTTAAAAGCGTGAAATATACACATGCAAATAGACCGTCATTCATTTGGTGATGGAAAGGAACTACGGTTTGGCTAATTAAGGGAATGAGATTGGAGCCAATGACGTTGGAGTCTCGCTAGTGGCCCTGGTTCCATCAGTAGTTTTTTGCCGACAAAGGACGACCGCAGGGTAAGTTCCTGTAGTAATTTCATTGGTTGTACAGTGGCAAGGGCGCCCGCTACACCGCGTCGACCCCAGACCAGCTGAAAGAGCCCGTCTTCCACTCTGATGAGCGCCGCATGTTGAGACAACCTCACCTTCAGCTCCGCGACCTCCTTCTTGACTCCCCCATTGTTTTCATTAAGCGAAGAATGAATATGCAATCCTCTGTTCTTTTAGGGCTCAGTCACACCTTCTAGAATGTTCTTTTTCTGTTATCGTTGCCACTTAATCCAATCTGAACACCCGTGTCCACTGGACACCCCCCCCGAACACACTCCTGTACCCACTCCTATACTCTACTCCTGTCTTTCCCAACGTATTTTGTAGTTTTCTCGTTCCGTTACCTTCACCGACGGACGTTCGAGGTCCCCTCCTTATGTTAACCATGCATCATGTTGTCTGCTGTTAGGTTTAGGGTACGTGTACGTTTTTGCAACTACGGGGACTGCATGTCACAGTAAGACAATGGACTGAGTCATCTTCCAAGGGGAAAATGCGCCAGCCTATCGTGGGATGAATGTAATTCTGAGTGTGAAACATCACATAACACATTGATATCATTATTTTGGTCTGTTATTGTCATAAGCTTATGAACCCTTTGATTTCAGCCCCATGTTAGAGATAAAGTTATGTAAGAGTACTACAGTACTATATGTAACTTACATAAGAGCTTTTGTAAATGGGAAGGACTTCTGTGATTTTCTTTGTGTCCTGCATCCCATGCAGAGTATTCTCCGCCATTTGCCTGTACTAGATAACTGTTTAGAAGATGGGTGGATGGATAGATGGATCCCACCAACCCAACCCTAACCCTAATGGAAATGTCACCATTTATATAATTACCCCCATTTACGCTAAAACAGCATCACCTGCTTGCAGTATGTAACCACAACAGACTGTATCTCATGGCTTTAGAGAGAATAAATCTGAGAACAGCATGGAAACATCACTAATCCACAGCCTAAATATCACAATTACAAAATGTAGCATTTTTGTAGTCGAAATAGAGGGGATATGATACATTTGCCTATTTTGCTAATATATAACGTTAAGCAGTCAAGCACTGTGTTTTGTTGTTAAAATATATGCTACTTTTGTATTTTAAAAATATCAAAAAGGATTATTCCTGAATATGTGGGCTTCTGATAGCTTTATCATATTCATTTAATTGATTGATACCGGTGTAGCAAAAATGAAATCCGCGTAGAAGGAATTGATGTAAAACTGGCCATATTTGGAACATGACAGCGGGTGCCAAACGACAGTGTTTATATTACGGCTGTAAAATAAAGTAAGGAAGGAAGGACCTCAACCTACACATTTGTTCTCACCACCAAGCAAACTTTTAACTTGTAGTTAAATATTGTGTTTGACATTACAATTCTGATGTTTTCACTCAGTGACACTGACCTTTGTAAATATATAATGTTTCCAAAAGGCACAGTTACGGAAGGGGTCTTGGTTTCTATATTGTCATGAAACAGTATTTGATTTCTGCTCTTCTGACATGACTTGTTTAAAATTTCTACTAGAAATGTAAAGTAAAAAAAACATAAAAACACCTGTCACCAATTTGTTACATTACCTTGTTACATTACCTTCCGTATTAAATCAAAAGACACATATTATTGTTAATTGATAACTCACTGAAAGCTGTAATTATTTGTTGTACAGTTTCACGCACAGATCCAGTATATAATGCAGTATATATTCCGTTTAGTCTTAGAACACTTTCCTGGCCGTGAGCAATGTTTTTCTCACCCACATTTGCAGTTAAAGCTTTCTTTTAGAGCTTTAAAGACTAACCAAACACCTCTTTCTCTGTTGCCTTCCCCTGATGATTTTGTTTTCATTTTATTTCTTAGGGTTAGCTAAAAGATTTTTGGCATTCATTGACGGTCACGCGTTTTGACAATATGTTGAGTTTTTTTTTTTCTTCATAAACCTACCAAAAGAGCTACTGTTCTAAATATTTTTTCCCCTGTATTTTCCCCTGATTTGTGAATCCCCTCCACCACTGTTGTGAAAATTGTACTACAAATCTGTTGTTTATTTATATAAGTACTGGGCACTGGCCATATGTTTACCTTACAAATATATGGTTATCTCAGATGTTAAAGTGATAGATTTGACTGGTCATATATCATATAAGCTCTGTATTAAAAGATTTTGTATATCACATTGTCACTGTACCATTTGACTGAAGACTGGAGACAGTACATAGGCAGCTGAAGTAACAAATAGACATTATTGTTTAGGTTTATGGTGTGAGGAAAAGTGGGATGCTTGTTTTTCTGGGGAACTGATTCCTGATAACAGACTCTGTAAGTCCTCGTTTTGGATAAATGTTTGCTTTTTGCCCCACCCCCACTACACACAGACACACACACACACACAGACACACACACACACACACACATTCCTGTACTCATATCTTTGTGGGGACGCTCCACTCATTTCTATGGGAAAAACTCTAATACCAACATGACGACCTTAATCCCTACCCAGCCATAACCTTAACCATAAGTAACCAATCAAAATACAAGTCTTTTGGCATTTTGAGTTGTTTGATTGCAGTCACAGATTTTTATAAAATTGAATTTCCCCACTGGGGACCGAAAAAACAGTCCCCACAACGACAAAACATAACCAACGACAGGTTTTTATCACATTGTAGGGAAGTTTGGTCTCCCACAATGTAATGTATACCTGACCCACACACACAATTTGCTCCATCCTTACTGCCATGGACATATTTTGGCAAAAAATAATTATAGCCTTAAATATTTGCTGTGTATTTAAGCAATGTTTTATGAATAAAGTTCATATATTACTATGTTTTACCTAGGATGTTAATGTTTGGTCGAAATACACAGCACAATTCTCTAAGACAGAAACAAACTGTACAGTATGTCACCTAGTGTACGTGTTCCATCAGGGTGGCTTGCGGGCCTGTCCCAGAATGCTCCATTCTGAATGAGGCTTTAGCCTCTCGTTTTAGCCAATCCTGAAAAAGAACATGCAGCGTAATTTTAAATGTCACTCATAGCCAGTACAAATATCCACCATGTGCCACACCTTCAGTTATCGCACATTATCAGTTTCAATTGTTTTTCTAGGAATTAAAACGGACAGAGGCCCTCGCTCCTATTCATATGTAAGGTTGGTTTGCCTTCGGTGATTTCAGTGACTGTGTATGGACATTCATGGTTTTCATGAGAAGTTTTTAATATCATTAATAAATATGATCATATTTTTTAATTTGCTGGGCTTGCTGTCTTCCTATGGTCGACTTTGTCTCCCACCAAAAACACCGACAGGGCCTCACCGGCAGATCAGCAGAACTGGTATGATTTTATTTCCAAAGAAGATGCACCGTATCCTTGCCGTTTTCCGTGTTGTGTTTACAGTGTTGCCGGAAGTCGGGGAGTGGGCTCTGTATTCATGTACATCACCATTACCGCTCTGTCCGTTTGTCACTTGCAGCGACAGGATGAATAGCCAACTGATGGCAGACGTTCAGGCCCCACGGAAACGCACACTAGCCATTTAAAGCAAGAGTGAGTTTGTGTCCATTAACTGAGGCTTTTTCCCCCTGATACTAAAATTGAATCAGTACCGTGCTCAACTCTCTTTGACCCCCTGTAATGATCTCATCGCATGACATCACGGACACCACAGAGCCTGCCGTAATTTCACATAAGTAAAATGTAGGTACTGCACTTCCTTGAAGCTGCTGTAACAAATGCTTGATTTCTGGTGGGTTCCAAAAAAAAAAAAAACAAAGAATATCTTCCCGTGAAGAGGAAATCTCTCTTTTCATGAATTTTATAGTGTAGACAAATTGGTGTTCCATTCCCACAAATTGAATTAGAATTTATGTTCTGGTGAGAAGAAAAAATACACAGGTGGCATGAATGTTGACCCCCTGCTTGAATGACTAAAGGAAAAAGTGAATTATGGTTTCCTCTGGGATGAAATTACCCCTAATCCGCAAGTGCATAATAAAACAGACATTTAAATCCCTACTGTATGGTCTCCAGCCTGCATATAGCTCATATGAAAATATGGGGGAAGCAGTGGTATGCATTACACACCTTTTAAGAGAAGGAAATGAAATATTGGTCTAACAAAACCGGCTGGAGACCCAGCCCTTGAAGACCTAAGCTTGTTAGAGGCTCCTGTATAGTTTTCTAGGTGAAGCCCCTGCTGTTGTACCCTAGAATTTGACCTGAATTGGTGTCATAAGTTCTTTAACAATAAGCACGTTGTACTATGGGCTGTTTCAGATAAAATCATTGCCAGACACCTAAATTATCCACTACTGGGTAAAAACACACAAAATGAGTGACACCTCTGTTATTAAATAATTGCTTAATAATGAAATAATATGGAATTATAGAAAGCTATCTCACGGGTGATATCAGCTCATAAAAGCCAACGGCTTGGAAATCCCATCAAGGCTGTTCATTTCAGCCCCAGAATTAAAAATACTGCATAAAATACACATAGAGAGAACTGGCAGAAGTGACTTCAGGAAGTCGCCGATCATTTTGTCTCTTTATATAACATAAAGGACAATAACCAAAGAAGCCGGATCCTGAGCGATCAGGAAGCAAAATTCTTTTCTTTTGTGTGTGTGAAAAGTACATTCTGAGAGATTAAAGATTTAAATCCATGCTCTTAAATGACAGATGACTTAATCAGCATGAGTAAATTGGGCACAGGTATTTATTTCCTAGTGCTATCTGGAAGAAAAACAAGAGAAAATCCATGACAACAGAGACCTTCACTGCATGTTATCTGGATGCCATTCTATGATGATATTGATTTTGGGACACATACCAGATTGAGAAATGAGAACATTTTTTTCCCCTCTTTTAAGCACTGCAATGTTTGAACCACGTTTCCAGAGGGTTTATTTACAGGAATATACTTGTGGTGGCTGTATTGTTTTAAAACCCCATTTACTTCAAGTGTTGTCTTCAGATGTGAAGGTGTCTAGTGTTTAGCTGAAGCCTTTCTCTTATGCTGGGTGAGAGCTTTGTGCTGCAAAGAGCACTTTCCTGAGGCTAACATCTCCAAAAACATACCTATCTGGAGTGCCGGGCTCTTCATTTTCCTTTCATTAGCCCTTAGTTTCTCTACAGGCCTCCCTGAATGGATGGGCTCCATAAACTTTCATCTTTTCCCACTCTGATTTTCTTTTTTTTTTTCTTTTTTTAAGAACAACACCTTTGGTGGGATGGTACCTCAGCTAATGTAAAACGATGGACCTTCCTGTTCCGAGTGCCCTAGACCGGCTCGTGTTCCCCGTGGATGGATTGCATCATCCCGCTGATTATGTAGAGTGCATGGACTTGGTTTGGCCGCTTGTCAAACGGCGTGTCAGTTATGTAACAAAAGACCTTCTACGGCTTGTCAGGTTAACGCATGATCAAGGTAAACGGCTAAAGAAACAAACACTTATGCAGAACTTATGTGTATGAAGTTGTAATATATATATATATATATGTTGGCCCTGTGGTGGACTGGCAACCTGCCCAGGGTGGACCCTGCCTCTCGCCCGAAGATCCTGGGATTGGCTCCAGCTTCCCTGCGACCCCAATATATTAAGCGGTATGGATAATGGATGGATGGATGGATATATATGTGTATAGATAGATAGATAGATAGATGTGTGTGTGTGTGTGTGTGTGTGTGTGTGTGTGTGTGTGTGTGAATAAAATTATGGAATAACCAGGTTCCTCATATGCTGAATCGACCCACAATGCATCATGGAACTGGACGATTTTTATTTACATCCTGGAAAGTTTCCATGACAATGAAACAAGCAGCTTGAATATTTCACTCTCTAAGGCCCTCCATCACTCCCCTATCTTTAACACACAGTGACCTTTACACGATACCGGTGTAAAGGGGCTGGTCCCCCTCCCTAAACATCCACACTTTCTCCTCGCCTAAAATTTAATTTGGGATTTTTATAAAAAAGAAAGGAAGGATTGGAGCTGATTCATGTGTAATTACCAACAATTAATTTTGGACAATTTTATAATTCAGTTGTGTTGAAGAGTTTTAATTTTAATTACCCTGTTCAGGTCTCTCTTCGCCCCATGATGTACTGTGCAGCTGTAACCATTTTCATTAGCCTGGAATATGTTTGTTTTTTTTTTTTTTTGGTTAAAAGAGCTTTAAATACCCTTCCATCTCTGGGCTCCAAGGAGCACAATCAGCAGGTGCTGTTCGTCCCGGAACCTCGGACTGGTTGGGGCTGCTGGAAACTTACTGGTGGCCAGAGCTTGGCTGAGTTTTCCTACCAGTCAGCAGACTGTGGTGCTGGTGCCAGCCTGACGGGGCTCCTCCTGGCAAAAGGTCTGACGGTGGGCACTCTAACAAGGGCAATAGCACATATTTTTGGCAAGACCCAGAAAGTAGCCAATAAAAAGGCTGGAACTGTATCCTGAGTTAATAATAGCAAACAAAAGAATAAGGTAACACTTTACTACACTTTACTAAAGGGGGCACAAGTAGAGTAGTAACCCAGTTACTACTCAGGTACAAATAATAAACAAATATAGTAACTGCATTTAACTCATGAACTGCTATGATTTATTAATGACGAACGAACATGTGATCGTTATGTAACGAACACTTAGTTTTTGATTACTTAACATGTTAAGTATGAGTGTACTATTACATTATTTGTGTCCCATCAAGTGAAGTATTACTAAAAAAAATACTGGATTATTTTCATGATATTTTTTTCTCTGATGATTATTATTAATAGGTTCAGTGTGGCAATGTAACAGTAAAGTGGTATGGAAAATGGATGGATGGATTAATGTATGATGAACGGACTGAATTTGAGATCACCTCCATTTTTATTCTTGGTGATAGTAAGAGTCCAAAGGATTGATTAATGATAATATTTTAAAGACAGCCTTATATGTATTGGTTTGTGTTTTTTTATGATCTGAGGGTTTTGTGACTGTAGTCTGGGGTGTAGCAGTGGATGGGAACGCAATGGCTCTGCTTTAGAAGGCTTCATAAGCTACTTCTTTTATCTGCAACTGGAGTCCGCCGTGAGTCAGGCAATGACGCAGCGTCGAGGACACGGAGGTAGGAAGTAGCAATCAGTGATTCATCACCGACCAGAATGCTGAAATAATGAATTTCGGC